AATGTTAATAAATATACTTGGTAATATTAATAAATATACTTGGTAATACTAATAAACACATTTAGTAATACTAATAAATACATTTAGTAATACTAATAAATACATCTGGTAATACTAATAAACACATTTAGTAATGTTAATAAATATACTTGGTAATATTAATAAATATATTTGGTAATACTAATAAACACATCTGGTAATATTAATAAATACATTTGGTAATATTAATAAATATACTTGGTAATACTAATAAACACATTTAGTAATACTAATAAATACATCTGGTGATACTAATAAATACATCTGGTAATATTAATAAATACATCTGGTAATACTAATAAACACATCTGGTAATACTATCACATAACGACCATGAAAGAGATTAATAAACAGTGCAAAAAAACAAAACAGTTAAAATATTTGGTGTTAAATCACTAATGAGAATATCGATGAATTATAAGAACGATCTGTCATGCTTTGGTGGTTAGAGTGCTCGACAGCAATCTGAGGTTCGCTGGATCGAAACCCGTCGTTGAACATGCTTACACACACACATACCTTCAGTGTATAATGGTTAACATCCCCGAACTGTAAATACGAAGATTCACCATTCGCGGCTTTAATAATTGCTTTAGATATAACTTTAATAATCGCTTTAGAGACAACTTTAATAATTGCTTTAGATATAACTTTAATAATCGCTTTAGAGACTACTTTAATAATTGCTTTAGATATAACTTTAATAATCGCTTTAGAGACTACTTTAATAATTGCTTTAGATATAACTTTAATAATCGCTTTAGAGACTACTTTAATAATTGCTTTAGATATAACTTAAATGATCTGTCGAGTCAAATAATCGAGAATGTGCAACATTTTGTGACTTTATATTAAAAACATGCTATTGGAGTTGTGTATTCGTTATTGTGGCTTACTGGATGCCACCTCTTACTATCACCACTATTTAAAATACCTAGGGAAAAAACGCGGTTATATCAATTTAGGAGCACTTTAAATAGTACATTGTAAAATATAAAAGGTATTAACGAGGGATGACAAGTGTTTATTCTTTTGACGATTTCAGGGTTAATAACTGATGAGTGAAAATCTCATTCAGTACTTGTTTAAAAATCTATATACACATCCAAAAAATTGCAATGGTCTTTCCAAAAGTTAAATGAACACTGGTTATGGAGCTACCAACTGAAATGTCACATCAGTTTTAACACGGGATGGGATATCTGTGTTATTATATGATCTCATAGGAAATATTTTTTTAAAACTAATATCATAAATAAACTGAATTGAACATTTGCTTAACGTTTAAAACATTTATACCATAACGATAATAATAATAAAATAACAGTTGTTAGTGCGCTATTCACATAAATGCCCGAGTAGTGTCTCAAAGTAAAATGGAGAATTAAAAACACTTTTCTTTGTCAAAATTGTCGAGATCAACCAACTATTTGAAATATTAAGGCCATTGTCACAAATGCTTCCAATGATTAGCTAATTTATTCTCGGGGATCTCGTAAGCTACTTTTAAATGTTCCTATAATTCAAACTGTCAGGGTGAAGTTGTGTCTGTGAAAACAAATTGTTAATGAAACAAAAGGTATACAAATACCAATTTCAAACTTCCTGGAGGCGCTTTCGGATTAATTCCACAGGCTCGGAATACAATAGAACAAAATGCTATTGTTTCGATTTCGAGCATTCTTAAAATAGTTTCCACATACGAAATTACAAAGGGAATAAAATTATCAACAAATATTAGTGTTGCTCACCTTGGTAATTAAAACTGTAATCTTATGGCGAGTTTATTTACAAGTTATTATTTTATCATGGCTAATGCTGTATGCTTTACTTTTTGCATCGGTGAAGAAACGGGGTTATATATAATATGAAGACAATCTATTTGTATCGAAACAGCAAGAAAGTGGAATCCGTGTGTGTTAATTAGATTTAAAACGAAATTATTTTATAGGGGACCGTTAATAGATTTAGAATATTTTTAAAAGAATAATTTCCACATTTAATATCTATTTTACATAATATTTTTTTCTTGGGTGTGCCTGTATGTGCACAGAAACAACGATGACCTTAGAGGCTGTAATTATTGCCTTCTCTCGAGCTTATGTCACCGTATTTTGAATGGTGATACAGGTGGGATTTTTATTGCCTTTCTTCATCACGATCTTCCCCCCATAGCTACTAAGTTACCACACGGACACAGTTTTCACGTACTCAGCTATAGTTCGTTTCGTACACTTACAGAAACCTTATTAAAACACAGAGTGAACCAAGAGTTAAAACTTCTTGAATATAGTTCCTTTCTCTGAGAATAAATATGTGTTAAAGGTATGTTCATAAACCCAAGTTTTGTAGATACGAAGCATGGTGAGAAACCTTATAAAAACAGTTTTAAAATTTGTAGAAGCCAATACATAGCGAGAATTACCATACAATATTTCTTATATATATATATATATATATATATATATATTCACAAATGCCTTACATAAACACAGTGGAAATATATCTTATAAAAACTTCTTGAAGCATCACTAATTCTCAGAGAATTTGTAGTGATAATGATTATCACACAAGGTTTTCTCGTATATGAAGTATAGCCTGTTTCATAAAATTGAGGAGAGATTAAAAACACTCAGTGCTAATAAGTGGTAAAACTTTTTGGAAGTAATTATTAATACCGAATATTCAATTATTAGGTTGTTACATATATGAGCTAACTTTATACATAACTACAAATTACAACGTTAATACATTTGTAAAACTGCTTGAGATATATTTTATTCCTCAGGGAACAAAATGCAACGCGCGTTGTGGTTCCAATCAGGTAACTGAAGTTTAAGCGTTTATCGCCTATAGCTTGTTTCATAAACGTAGAGAAATATTATAAAACAGTGTTGTTAAAATCGTCTTCAGTACAATTCATTAATCAGTCATACATAACTTACAAGATTTATAATATTACTACCACAGCCGACCTTAATATAATGAAACTACCTAGGGGCCCCTTGCTGTGAGGGGCGTGTATAAATAATTAAATATCTAACGAAGCTACAAAACCCAAAGTACATACGATTGATTCATTAACGAAAGTACCACAGTACTCTGTGGTACAAATTCTGTCATTTTTTTTTCTTCACTGCCGCATACTGTATCTTCCCTATGTAGGTATTCATGTTCTGAATAATATATCTGGAAGTTAAATAATAGTGAGAGTATCTTATCACAAAAATAAACAATGACTATATATTAGAAAACAAAATGTATTGACATCATTATTCCAATTGTGTTGCGTCACTTTTCCCTCTGGTGAGACCTAACATGACTGAACAGTTGGACTTGATGATCATACTTATGGAATATCTACGGCCCCAAACCGTGGAGTGTGTTTTTGTAGCAACAGGATGTTAACCATTAAACAATGCTTGGAAGGATTAGTCTCTAAAGCGATTATTAAAGTTATATCTCTAAAGCAATTATTAAAGTTGTCTCTAAAGCGATTATTAAAGTTGTCTCTAAAGCGATTATTAAAGTTATATCTAAAGCGATTATTAAAGTTGTCTCTAAAGCGATTATTAAAGTTATATCTGAAGCGATTATTAAAGTTATATCTAAAGCGATTATTAAAGTTGTCTCTGAAGCGATTATTAAAGTTGTCTCTAAAGCGATTATTAAAGTTATATCTAAAGCGATTATTAAAGTTATATCTAAAGCGATTATTAAAGTTGTATCTAAAGCGATTATTCAAGTAGTCTCTGAAGCGATTATTAAAGTTATATCTGAAGCGATTATTAAAGTTGTCTCTAAAGCGATTATTAAAGTTGTCTCTAAAGCGATTATTAAAGTTATA